CTCAAAATATGCTTACGAATAATTTTCCGGTGGCATTGAGGATTCCACCCCCTCCGGAAGCATAATTAACGCCGTTGAGAATGATAGATCCTCTTGTTGTTGGTGCTAAATACGGTGGTGTGAGTTCCTCCGAACCCAATGCTTGAACTGCAGTTTTTCGGATTTTCGGTTTAGTTTTTATTTTTTTTATCTAGATCAAATTGGAATCGTAAAAGCAATTAACAAATCAAAAATACATATATTTTGGGTTCCGATAGATGAACCGGTCTAAAATGTTAGAATTTTGGCCGGTCTATATTCGATCATAAGCAAACCGAATTAAACCAATGCAAACCGTTATAAGCACTTTTGCTTTGTTGTTAACTTGTTTCATGTAAGAAAGTCAAAGTCTGTATTATTATTAAATGCAATATTTATTATTATTACGGCTTTAACATTGCATGAAAACTTTGTAATTTGTAATAAAGAATTCGTATAAGACAATTAAATTAATAAAATATACTTACATATGATATCGACGATTGTTCTTCCGTTGGTGAATCTTCCGGTAGGCGATCCAAAATCAATTCCATTAGGATCATAATTAGCCTTTGACAATGTAGCTAAATAGTTGTTATTTCCTGCATCGACTAATGAATCTCCGAACACAAAACTAGCCGGTATAGTTTTCCCGGCGAGACATAGTTCAGAGAAGAAGAACAAGAACGATAATGCTAGAACTTGGCAAAGAAAAACAAGCAACGACATTATTGATGTTAATTTTCAGTCTTTAAATTGTTTTTTTTCGGGGAAAATATCAACTAGAAAAACGGAACTCTTTTTGTGAAGAACCTAAGATGTGTGTTTGTATTGTTTTAAATTTTCTAAGGAAAAAAAGATTGAAGAAAATAGGTGTGACTTGTGAGTATGAAAGAGAGAGTGAAGTTTTTTTTGGTAAACATGTTAAGAAGAGAGTGAAGTTAAAGAAGGTAAGGTTTATATATAAGTTTTTTTTTTTGGGTCTCATAACAACTTGATGCTTAATGGCATATAACCAAACTGTTAGTTTAGTTCAGAGATTTAAAAATCAAAAAGACATCGGGAATGACCAATCACACGAATCGTGTATATGAATATTTATTCACTGTTCTGTAAAATGCACAGAAAAAAGTTGGCCTGTTTTGTATTAATAGCCTATACCTACAAAGCTACAACAGTAATATTAAAAATATTTAATCTACGAAAACTTTTGTGTTTATCAAAAGTGTCCCATGCAAAATTAAAAAATAATTCCAACTACGCGTAACTGAGGTTTTTATTTGTGTTTGATATGATAAAAATCCAGGGATAATGAAAATTTATTCAACATGTTGTTCATAAAATTATACACAATATATATATAAATGAATCATTCAATATATGAGGTTGGTTATTTATTATACTCCACGATTTTTTTTTCTTTTTGTGTCATGACTATATATATGAATATGAGTTTCTTTACTTATTATTATCTCAAGAGATTATTCATATATAACTACCCATGTATTTTTCTTTTTATAAACTCTCATTAAATTGGTTCACAACCTTACATGTTACTTTAAATATACACAAAACCCATACTGTTAATAATGAGACGAACGTGGGATTTTTTGTTAATCTTACGGCAGTAGATAAGTTAATATTGTACTCAACAATGCAACTTCCAACAAACTCGTGTCAAATAATTAAAAAAAATGTATGAATATAATCTAGTGAGAAATAAATGTTGTCTCCAGTGGATGATACAATTCTGTTGTTTGAAAAATGATACTAGTGAGTATAATAATTGAATTGAAGCAAGTGGTTGTTTTTGAATCATAACTCAACTTGTTGTTTAGATAAGACTATTAATTGTTTCGCAGAGAGAATCGAGAAAACGTGTGATTGAGTAACAGAAGCTCCAATGAAACTCTAAGGCTTAATTGTACAAGTAATTACTAACCATTGAGTCTGACTGACATGTTTTAGAACGATTGCATTTCTTGATCTTTGATCTTGGATTCTAGCTTGATAGTAGTATCGACGTTTCATGCTCTGACTAAAATAAATTTTGAATGGAATATACAGCGAAATATTTAAAAAATGTAATGTAATGAATTAGGGATGTATTTTCGTGGAGCTTGTGAAATTGAAAATGTTATTCTAAATGGTGATATGATTGTAGATCGAGAAGGTATGATGCTTACTAAGTTATGATTTATTCAAGATCTATGCAAGTAGAAGTTGCCTATTATTATTACAAGAAGAAAAGATAATGTATATGTGAGATATTTCAATACAAGTTAGAGCATGTAGATTCAGATGTTG